GCATAGAGGAGAAACAATAATGTACAGTATGTGGAAAATAATGTGTTTTTTGAACCTTAAACCGCATAAACACATTTCATTACACCAAATACACAAAACAATGTTCTTTTTAGCAGCATCATATGACCCCTTTAAAATGACGCTGCTTCAAAAAATGTGCGCGTCCCCTTTAAACAGCGAGTCTCGCGCCGGGTGGAAATGGTCGCTCGCGCAGTCAACTGAGGGAAAAGAAAGCATTAGCTAGCTGCTAACAGTGAAATACACTAACATTTCATCTGAATACAGCCAACAAACGAAGACGACTGAACAATGACACATCTTAAGGTAGCTAATGGAGCGGAATGATATCATAAAAAATAATATTCCAGCCACCTGGGTTGTATTTATGTTTGTGTGTGATTAGACGCTAACAGCTAGAAGCTAGTTAGCAGATTGCTAATGATAACTGAACAGCTAATATAACTTTATGAAAATAGTAAGTTAACGTATTGTTTATTTTTGATATTTTGGGGTTGACGTTACGAAAGCTTTATTATTGTGTGCTGAAACGGTTTGAATGGTGTGCTTTATTAGTTTCTGACAGTGCAGTGAGCAGGCAAATTATATTCATATGGGTAATTAGAGACTTTATCTTAGATAAATAATGTTATTATTAATAGTGAAAATAATAGGACTAATAAGCACTAAGTAAACGTTATCCGGTTCATTTAGATGAATAATTAACAGCCCTTTCGAAACAAAGATTGATATCATAGCTCATGACAGAGGAATCGTAGATAGTTACCATAGTCGGAGTGAATTAATTTAGTATATTGTGTTCGTATTCATAGTTTATTGTTTAAAATTTATTGCTATATACAATGTGTTCTTTGTCAAATCTTTCAGACCTGGTGAAATCACACTTCCACTTTTCACTTCACAATAAATCACAGCAAAGTAAACATCCAAAACCGTTCCTGTGAATTCAGATGTTGAAAATCTTACAATTATACAAATCTTCAGTATTAAATAATAGCCATACATATTTGTCCCCACTTTTTACTTATTTGTACTAAATCATTGAGAACAGCTTGTCTCTTTGTTTCTAATTATTTTGTCTATTACTGTCAGTAACTACCAAGTTAGATTCCTAAGACATAGAAATGTTATGTTTGTAAATGTGTAATTTGTAACTTTCTGTCCCGACTGCCCCAGTTTCTCTGCAGGGGTAAGTGAGGTGTATCGTACCCCGTCCTAGGATGGACAGTTATTTTAAGGCTGCTGTGTGTGACCTGGACAAGCTTTTGGATGACTTTGAACTCAATGCAGGTTTGAGACTTTTGCTTTACTGATATTGTAGTATTACAAATATTAATTTTGCGCTTCTCAATTGGTGAGGACACAATTCCTCTAGGGTGAACTGATGTAAATTCAACCACTTTTGACATTCATTTAATTGATCATACGTTCTGTATAATGTGTATGTATCCTATAGTTTATGTATGTAGTTGGTAGCCAACATACAGTGGGGCAAAAAAGTATTTAGTCAGCCACCAATTGTGGTAGTTTTTGAATTTTGAGTCAAATTTATTCTTTCGATGGCAAAGCTGAATTATCAGCATCATTACTTTAGTATTGAGAGTCACATGATCATTCAGAAATATGCTTAGTTATTAATTGATGCTCAATTATTAATAATTGTTCTTAATTTGATCTATGTTGAAAAGCGTTTTGCTGCATCAAATTTTAATGGAAACAATGTTCATTTTATTTTTCAGGATTATTTGGATGGAAAGTTAAAAAGAACAGCATTTATTTGAAATAGAAATTTTTAGTAACATTTAAAAAAAATTTTTACTTACCCACTACTTAACACTACTGTGTCATGGCTTCCACAAAATATGAAGCATCAAAATGGTTTTTAGTATTGATAATAATAAGAAATGTTTCTTGAGCAACAAATCAGCATATTAGACTGATTTCTGAAGGATCACGTGACACTAAAGACTGAAGTAATAATGCAAAAAATTTAACTTTGTATCACAGGAATAAATTACATTTTTACAACAGTTCTTTTAAATTTCAATAATATTTTCACTATTTTCTGTATGTTTTAATCAAATAAATGCTTTGGTGAGCATAAGAGACTTCTTTCAAAATCATTAAAAAAAATCTTTATTTCAAACTTTTGACTGGACAAATCTCATATATGATGTGTTATTCATAATATATAATGTGTGCAACAATATATATCCTATGTATGTTTGATGAGATGTCTGATCTTATCATTTTGTGTTTTTTATCGTATCCTAACATTTATTTTGGTTGTTTAATTATGGCTGATGTTTTCATGTTAGCTACGTTATAAATTAATATGATGTTTTACTTTATTTTTAGAGGAGCTTGAGAACAAGCCCGCCACTTTTACAAGCCCTCCTTGTCCGGACGCCACAATTGTCCCAGGTCACCATTCGGACCTTCAGAACTTCATACCAGAGCAACACACGGTCTCGCAAACACTCCCAGATGTCAATGCCCTGCACTATGGACTTGCATCACAAAGTATTACCTTAAACCAAAAAGATTCTTATTCAAATGAACGGCCACTCACAGATGTGGACCTCCTGTCCTCCGTTGATAGCAGAGGCATCAAAAGTTCGGCTCCTCCTTGTCCGGACCGCTCCCTAAAGCCTGTGTGTGACCTGGTGAATGATACGGGTTCTGCAAACCTCCAGCAGGCTGACAGTCAGGAGGACTTTAAAGAACTGGACGTTCCTGAGAAACAAACTAATGAGGTGCTGCTAGTGGACTTCGAGAGTCCTGTAGTATCTACTCCCGAAGATGCTTCTAACGCCGGTGAATTACCAAAACATGACTCTGAGATTAACTATAACTCATTCAGCCTGCTAGATGTCATATTACCGGCTGTTGGTGACCCTCATGGTTTAAGTAGCATCACACCTTTGGAGTGCAATCGGATTGAAAGTTCTCGTTCTGAAGACTCAAACGCCAATGATCAGAACAGTTCTCCATGCGAAGTCTCAGTAAACGAGGAAGATGTTAGTAATTCAGATCCTCATGCTACAACTGTTTCAGCAACCAGAGAAGAGCATGCTGTATCGATGCAACCGGACTCAGATACCCAACTGTCTGAAGATCTCAGTGTCAAAAATCCAGAGGATTCAGCTGGAAGTCCCTCCCTGGAGAAGGAACCTTCTCTATCTTGCTTGCCAATGGCCGTATCTATGTGTGGATCCCTTGTGGCGTCTTTAGACCCACAGACAGCAGTGATTGAAACCAAAGATGAGGCTGAACTGGAAAAAAATTCAGCGATTCAAGAGGCTGAAGAGTTAATTCTTCCGTTAGTAGAACCCACAACACCATTCTCCTCCAATAGGCCTGATTCCTCACCTGAAGATGAACCTGAGCTATTATTTGGATGGAAAGTTAAAAAGAACAGCATTTATTTGAAATAGAAATTTTTAGTAACATTTAAAAAAAATTTTTACTTACCCACTACTTAACACTACTGTGTCATGGCTTCCACAAAATATGAAGCATCAAAATGGTTTTTAGTATTGATAATAATAAGAAATGTTTCTTGAGCAACAAATCAGCATATTAGACTGATTTCTGAAGGATCACGTGACACTAAAGACTGAAGTAATAATGCAAAAAATTTAACTTTGTATCACAGGAATAAATTACATTTTTACAACAGTTCTTTTAAATTTCAATAATATTTTCACTATTTTCTGTATGTTTTAATCAAATAAATGCTTTGGTGAGCATAAGAGACTTCTTTCAAAATCATTAAAAAAAATCTTTATTTCAAACTTTTGACTGGACAAATCTCATATATGATGTGTTAGTCATAATATATAATGTGTGCAACAATATATATCCTATGTATGTTTGATGAGATGTCTGATCTTATCATTTTGTGTTTTTTATCGTATCCTAACATTTATTTTGGTTGTTTAATTATGGCTGATGTTTTCATGTTAGCTACGTTATAAATTAATATGATGTTTTACTTTATTTTTAGAGGAGCTTGAGAACAAGCCCGCCACTTTTACAAGCCCTCCTTGTCCGGACGCCACAATTGTCCCAGGTCACCATTCGGACCTTCAGAACTTCATACCAGAGCAACACACGGTCTCGCAAACACTCCCAGATGTCAATGCCCTGCACTATGGACTTGCATCACAAAGTATTACCTTAAACCAAAAAGATTCTTATTCAAATGAACGGCCACTCACAGATGTGGACCTCCTGTCCTCCGTTGATAGCAGAGGCATCAAAAGTTCGGCTCCTCCTTGTCCGGACCGCTCCCTAAAGCCTGTGTGTGACCTGGTGAATGATACGGGTTCTGCAAACCTCCAGCAGGCTGACAGTCAGGAGGACTTTAAAGAACTGGACGTTCCTGAGAAACAAACTAATGAGGTGCTGCTAGTGGACTTCGAGAGTCCTGTAGTATCTACTCCCGAAGATGCTTCTAACGCCGGTGAATTACCAAAACATGACTCTGAGATTAACTATAACTCATTCAGCCTGCTAGATGTCATATTACCGGCTGTTGGTGACCCTCATGGTTTAAGTAGCATCACACCTTTGGAGTGCAATCGGATTGAAAGTTCTCGTTCTGAAGACTCAAACGCCAATGATCAGAACAGTTCTCCATGCGAAGTCTCAGTAAACGAGGAAGATGTTAGTAATTCAGATCCTCATGCTACAACTGTTTCAGCAACCAGAGAAGAGCATGCTGCTGTAATGCAGCAACCGGCAACAGATACCCAACTGTCTGAAGATCTCAGTGTCAAAAATCCAGAGGATTCAGCTGGAAGTCCCTCCCTGGAGAAGGAACCTTCTCTATCTTGCTTGCCAATGGCCGTATCTATGTGTGGATCCCTTGTGGCGTCTTTAGACCCACAGGCAGGAGTGATTGAATCCAAAGATGAGGCTGAACTGGAAAGAAATTCAGCGATTCAAGAGGCTGAAGAGTTAATTCTTCCGTTAGTAGAACCCACAACACCATTCTCCTCCAATAGGCCTGATTCCTCACCTGAAGATGAACCTGAGCTTGTCCAAATCATGTCGAACACAGAAAGGGCGACTGCTGTCTCTGGCCATTACCCTGAAAGAAACTTTAAGCACAACTTGTCGTTGACAGAGAAAGAGTTGTGTGAAAGCAACCCATCTCCGCCCTATTCAGAAAGCCCAAATTATTCCTACGAGTTCAGCATCACCAACGATTACCTTCCTGAAAGCGACCAGACTGTGATGATGGTTACGGACGAGGAGCTGGACGCCTTTCTGATGGGTCAGGATGTGAAAATCAACTCCGACGCAGGCGCAGAAAAATTCGTAGATGATGGCTTTTCAGAATTTAACGGAAGCATGGAAGGCTTTTTAGATGAGGAGCTGCAGAGCTGTAAAGTTGAGACGTTTGCTTCTCCTGAGAGCGATGGTTCTCTTCAGTATCTGGAGGAGAGCGAAGGTTCGAACGTTTCTTCCTCATCTCAGGAGAGCAGCCCGCTGAGGACAGATGCCACACAAACAATTAGCCATGAAAATGCAACCAGCCCTGTTGAAATTCAGTCAGTTTGCACCCCTAACCAAGAGTCAAATTACGGTGGGGCGAGACCAAAGCAGTTGTCCAACCAAACCACACGGCCTCCATCTGAAAGACACCGGACCAGCCATGCTGAACCCAATGTAGCAGGCCTTTCTGCAGAGAATGGCTCGCAAGTTTCTCCCAACCAAGATGAAAATAACTGTGAACCCCCTTCTTATCTGCAATATGATGCCAGTTACGGCCATGATGAGCTTTCAGAGCCTCCACCATACCCAGGAGAGAGTCCTGATCCACCAGGACTCGAGGTCGAGGGTCTGGGGTCAAAGCAGCCTCCTTGGGTGCCAGACTCCGAGGCTCCTAACTGCATGAATTGTGAGCAAAAGTTTACCTTTACCAAGAGGAGACACCATTGCAGAGCATGTGGGAAGGTGAGTTTGTTGTCTCTCAGTGTCAGTACCCACAATTATTTGGAAGATATTAAATAGTTTGGGGTCTTAAGATTAATTTAAAAAAAATTAATTAATACTTTTATTCTGCAAGGATGCATTAAATTGATCAGAAGTGACCATAAAGTTATAAAAGATTTGTTTCAAATGAATGCTGTCCTTTTTTATTAATCAAAGAATCCTGAAAAATAAAATGTATCATGTTTTCCACTGAAATAAGATGCACCTGTTTTCAGCAAATAATAATAAATGTTTATTTAGCAGCAAATCAGCATATTAGAATGTTTTTTGAAGGATCATGTGACACTGAAGACTGGAGTAATGATGCTGAAAATTCAGCTTTGATCACAGAAATAAATTACATTTTAAAATATTCAAATTTCTCCTGAATAGATATTTTAAATTGTAGTAATATTTCACAGTATTACTGTTTTTACTGTATTTTTGATCAAATAAATGCAGTCTTCTTGACAGGGCCGCATGAAGACCTCAATGGGGCCCGGGGCTATGACTTACTGCAGGGCCCCCCGTCGCAATAATGATATAGCTTAACATAGGATTTTTATCCAATCAAAGTTTCATAATTCTTGTTACCAATTCCAAAATCTCAAAAAAATAAAAAATACTAGCCTATGTAAAAACAAACTTACTGAAGACAAGTAAACAGTCATGAATTACAATAGAACAAAGAAATTGACCTATAAACACTTAAAGCACTGAATAAGAAATATATTGTATAAAATAAATAGACTAGAAATAGACTGAATAGTCTTCACTGTATAAATTCAATATACATTATTTTACAAATATACATTTATTTTACAGTGATTTTCTTTCTGATGTTTAATTTACATTATTGACACAAATGGCAAGAGCAGCTATATTAGGCTGCTTTGGAGGAGTAGTTCACCCAAAAATTAAAGTTATATTGTTGTTGTTCTAAACCTGAATTAGTTTCCTTCTGCTGTTGAATGCAAACATACAGTGGGTACGGAAAGTATTCAGACCCCCTTAAATTTTTCACTCTTTGTTATATTGCAGCCATTTGCTAAAATCATTTAAGTTAATTTTTTTTCCTCATTAATGTACACACAGCACCCCATATTGACAGAAAAACACAGAATTGTTGACATTTTTGCAAATTTATTAAAAAAGAAAAACTGAAATAACACATGGTCCTAAGTATTCAGACCCTTTGCTCAGTATTTAGTAGAAACACCCTTTTGATCTAATACAGCCATGAGTCTTGTTGGGAAAGATGCAACAAGTTTTTCACACCTGAATTTGGGGATCCTCTGCCATTCCTCCAAGTTGCAGATCCTCTCCAGTTCTGTCAGGTTAGATGGTAAAAGTTGGTGGACAGCCATTTTTAGGTCTCTCCAGAGATGCTCAATTGGGTTTAAGTCAGGGCTCTGGCTGGGCCATTCAAGAACAGTCACAGAGTTGTTGTGAAGCCACTCCTTCATTATTTTAGCTGTGTGCTTAGGGTCATTGTCTTGTTGGAAGGTAAACCTTCGGCCCAGTCTGAGGTCCTGAGCACTCGAGAAGGTTTTCGTCCAGGATATCCCTGTACTTGGCCGCATTCATCTTTCCCTCGATTGCAACCAGTCATCCTGTCCCTGCAGCTGAAAAACACCCCCACAGCATGATGCTGCCACCACCATGCTTCACTGTTGGGACTGTATTGGACAGGTGATGAGCAGTGCCTGGTTTTCTCCACACATACCGCTTAGAATTAAGGCCAAAAAGTTATATCTTGGTCTCATCAGACCAGAGAATCTTATTCAGGTGTTTTTTAGCAAACTCCATGCAGGCTTTCATGTGTCTTGCACTGAGGAGAGGCTTCCGTCGGGCCACTCTGCCATAAAGCCCCGACTGGTGGAGGGCTGCAGTGATGGTTGACTTTCTACAACTTTCTCCCATCTCCCAACTGCATCTCTGGAGCTCAGCCACAGTGATCTTTGGGTTCTTCTTTACCTCTCTCACCAAGGCTCTTCCCCCCCGATAGCTCAGTTTGGCCGGACGGCCAGCTCTAGGAAGGGTTCTGATCATCCCAAACGTCTTCCATTTAAGGAATGGAGGCCACTGTGCTCTTGGGAACCTTAAGTGCAGCAGAAACTTTTTTGTAACCTTGGCCAGATCTGTGCCTTGCCACAATTCTGTCTCTGAGCTCTTCAGGCAGTTCCTTTGACCTCATGATTCTCATTTGCTCTGACATGCACGATATTTCGGTTTTTCTTTTTTAATAAATCTGCAAAAATGTCAACAATTCTGTGTTTTTCTGTCAATATGGGGTGCTGTGTGTACATTAATGAGGAAAAAAAAATAACTGAAATGATTTTAGCAAATGGCTGCAATATCACAAAGAGTGAAAAATTTAAGGGGGTCTGAATACTTTCCGTACCCACTGTATGTATTTGGAACAATACTGGTAACCAAACAGTGTCTGTGCCCCCATGACTTCCATAGTATGGAGAGAGAAAAACACTATTGGAGTCAACAGGGACCAGAAACTTTCTGGTGGTTACAGATATTCTTCAAAATATCTTCTTTTATGTTGAGGAGAACAACGAAATTCATACAGGTTCAGAACAACTTGAAACTGAGTAAATGATGACATTATTACATTTTTGGGTGAATACCCCTTTAAAATCTCATCATATAATGCCAGGATCGCATAATAGCCAATTAGTGCACATGCTTTATCTTTAACTATTAACGTTCATTTAAGACACAAATGACTGTGTTGACGAGGAGACAGACATTTTGACACATAACTGTGTATTCGAACGTTTAAACACAAGGCGCGAAAAATAACTCTTAGTTTAGTCAGGCGCTGTACGAGCAAGTATCAGAAACCGTCTTAACGCACGCATTTGCCAAAATGAATTCTATCCCACTGCTTAATGTCCCTGAACAGTTAAATTAGTTTTTAAACCAAAATGCTTAAAATGCATTTAAATGAAAAGCTTACATCATGACACGCAAAATGAATTTCTCAACCCATAAGCGAATATACTAGCCCTATAGAGTTTGTTCAAACACAAAAAGCACTATAGCTGCATCTATCAAGTTAATAATCAAACTAACCTAAAATCTGTGGGGATGATGACGCTGTGTTTTTATCTGCTCCATATGTCCGGTCCTATGACTCCCACTCCATCATCAGCTTTAGTAATATAAACTAGCTGTGGAGTTTATTGACTAACTCATGTTTTCCCCTCTCTCCTCATTTTTTTCTCTCACTATTTTATATTTTTTTTTAGAATAGTTGACATTTTTACTTATCGAAGATTGTTCTTTGCATGACCATTTCTAGATTACACCAGAACGAAGTGAAGAGAGGTGAATGCAGACATTAGGAGCAGCGATCACCTGATAGATAGGCTACGTGCACAGTTTGTTCAAAAGTAAAATATATAATAAATTAATTTGATTGGTAAAACAAATTCAAATGTGAAGTTTTAATCTCTTATGGGAATGCATGGAATTTACGGAAAACTCCACTAAATAATAGCGCTAAAAAGTGAGGGGCGTGGTGTTTTTTTTGCGGTCGGCGCTACCGATGTCTGTCAATCTACTCCACAGCCAATCACGGGCCCCCTCCTTGCTCGGGCCCCGGGGCTTCAGCCCCGCCTAGCCCAATGGTTAATGCGGCCCTGCTTGTTGAGCAGAAGAGTCTTCTTTCAAAAACATTGTCTTTACATTAACGTTAACATAAAATTTTAAACTTTAGTAATTATATATTTAATCATTTGATATAATACATTATAATAATAATAATTAGCTGCATTGGTTTTATGATGTATTTTACTGCACTATATGGCTGAATGTATATAAACATGGATGTTTGTAAACGTCTGGTAAAAGGGCCTCTTAAAAAAAAAACTGAATGTTAAAAAAAACTGAATTGTTACAATATTGGTTATATACTGTATATATCGGTCTCAAATCAATCTAATTAGTGCATGCATATTAAGTATTTATTGAACCGAACCTGTGACCACAGCAGCATGATACAAACTGAACTGAGCGATTTTACCTATACATTATTATGAAAAATCTAACACAAATATATTGTACATTTAAAAAAAATCTTAACGGCCCCAAAGTTTATTTTGTTTTGTTTTGTTTTGTATAATTGACCATTGTCCCAGGGAGGTGATTTACTTGCTATATTACTTTGTACTCTTTCTTCTCGCATAACAAAATAGTTTAAACTCTGATCAATATTTCACGTCCATTTATTATTTGATCACTTAAGTATCTTCATAATAAGCAAGATATGTACAGTCAGACAGTCATTATTCAAAATAAACCCTTTTACATTTGAATCCTTATCACCCTGTCAGGGTTTATTTTGCATAAATGAACATAATTAGAGTCAGTAATGTATTTGCTTCAGTTCTGAAAGTGACTTTGTAACTTTGTTGTAGTTGAGTGTGCCCTGACTTTTGGAGGTGAAAGGCAAATAACCGCAGTGTGAATCAATGAATTAACATGCAGTCAGCTGCGTTGATTTCGAGCAAAGGTCTGTGCCATTGTGTTCTAGTTTATTTATAACCACAGGAAAGCCTTAAACCTGTAGTCCACTGCCTTAGACAGCAAAAGTGCTCATTTTATGTATTGTTGCGAAGTCTTTTGTTTCTATTACGTCAGTGTGTGGTTTATTCTGCTCTGGAGGTGCTAAATATAGAGGCGGATTTGCTGGGTCAGCAGAATGTATTTTTAGCGCTGATATAGTTTCCCGCTTGAATTGCTGCACTGAGCTGCTGTTTTCAAGACCTATTGGGCCAATAAATAAAATGGGCTAAAGGACACCAGAGAGTTTTCTCCAGGTTTATGTTTGATGAAGTACTGCGTTTATCCAGTGTTTTAGTGAATAATGTTGTCTGCTTTGCAGGTGTACTGTGCAAACTGCTGCAACCGCAAATGCAGACTGAAATATCTGGATAAAGAGGCCAGGGTTTGTGTCATCTGCCATGTTACCATACAGAGAGGTGAGTGCCAAATCACTGTAATATACTCCCTAGCTGGCTTAATAAAAATTAATTCAATATGTTTAAGTGGATGCAATGCACTGTACCTTTAAAACATCCATTACAACACCCAAACATGAAATTTTGCTGAAAATGTCCTCACCCTCAGACCATCCAAGATGAGTTTGTCTTCATTGGAACAGATTTTGAGAAATGTAGCATTACATCACTTACTCACTAATGGATGCTCTGCAGTGAATGGGTGCCGTCAGAATGAGAGTTCAAACAGCTGATAAAAACATCACAATAATCCACAAGTAATCCACAGCACTCCAGTCCATCAGTTAATGTCTTGAGAATCAAAAGCTGCGTGTTTGTAAAAAACAAATCCATCATTAAGATGTTATTAACTTAAACTAAATCCAGTCTTATGGATTATAATTTTGTATTTTGGTTAATAGCAGCAGTTTTCATTTAAAATGCCTCAATTAATGCCTTAATGTGAATTACTTGTGGATTATTGTGATGTTTTTATCAGCTGTTTGGACTCTCATTCTGACGGCACCCATTCACTGCAGAGCATCCATTGGTGAGCAAGTGATGGAATGCTAAATTTCTCCAAATCTGATATAGAAACAAACTCATCGACATCTAGAAGGCCTGAGGAGTGTATTTTCAGCAATTTATCATTTTTGGGTGAATTATTTCTTTAAAGGCCGACAATCTGTGGCAGTGGTTCATGTCGGTGTAGAAATGGGTATAACCCATTTCTACACTTAGGCCTACATGAACTACTGCCACAGATTGAACCATGGTTTATTTTTAACTGCTGTAATGTGGTAAACCGAAATTAGGTTGATAAAATGTTATTGTTTTTGAGGAAGAACTACTTGAAAGCACTCATTGTATTGGTATTGTGATATTGGCATTACATCTTTGAAAGAGCTTTGTTTGATGCACTTAGTATGTATTAGTTATGTCTGTGAAGTAATCTGCTCTAAAGGCCCATTTGCACGTAAAACGATAACAATAATGAAAACGTTGTCATTTACAGCTGGGAAAAAATTGTTCTGAAAGTGATTCCAGAGGTATCATTCCTCTGTGCAGTCGACCAATATGGGTTTTTTTGACAGCCGATGCTGATATCTTGGAAAGCAGGGTGGCCGATGGCCGACATAAAGTTGATATAATTTTATTTATTTTAATTAATATTTAAGAAATTTGAAATAATTTGAAAATGGATTAAAAAATAAATGTGTAAAATAAACATACGTATACTTTAGAAGACACAAATAAATATTTAATTAAAATATAACTAAAAAGGAAGTAAACACTGTAATCAACAGGGCACTCAGTATTCTGGGAAGTTTGTGTGCATTGGGAATCATATTTTTTTTCAAATAAAGCCACAGTAACACTCATTTTACATACAGCACACAATGAAAATGACATTAATATGACAGTGGGAAAATGCATAAAGCGCAGCATAATTTGAAATCACGAGTTTAAAGTTTGTCGATCATGCGTCTCCAGTGAAGCTGAACTCTCCTCCTGTCCACATTCAATTTACATGGACCGACCGTCACGCAGAGAACATGCGATCATGCAGGATACAAATGCACACTTCACAAGATCTCAACTAGATTCGACTAAGTCTGCAAGGTTTGTGAAATTAAATGTTCATTAGTCATTCAAAGATTTATTTAAATTATATAAATGCATATTTGCTGAATGCTGACGCAAATGAGAAAATACTATAATGTTTGCCTTTCTATTACTAATAATATTAAAGCAATCGTTGTAATACTTTTTTGTATAGATTTTAATTCCTTTGTTTAACAGTTCTATCTGATTATTAGATAGACTTCTATCCATATTAGACAGAACTGAATGACGACAGTGAACAGGAGGGAAATTGTGAGCGGTGTGTCCTCAGGCGCTGCCGTTCTCAGCACCGTCAAAATAAAAGTTCCCCCCTCGAACACATCGGCCAAACAGAAAAACTTATATCGGCATTGGCGATATGTCGGTCGACCACTAGTTGTGATATGAACTCTGTTCTTTTAAAAATAGAAAGATTTTAGGGAAGTTTGTGTGCATTGGGAATCATATTTTTTTTCAAATAAAGCCACAGTAACACTCATTTTACATACAGCACACAATGAAAATGACATTAATATGACAGTTTGAAAATGCATAAAGCGCAGCATAATTTGAAATCACGAGTTTAAAGTTTGTCGATCATGCGTCTCCAGTGAAGCTGAACTCTCCTCCTGTCCACATTCAATTTACATGGACCGACCGTCACGCAGAGAACATGCGATCATGCAGGATACAAATGCACACTTCACAAGATCTCAACTAGATTCGACTAAGTCTGCAAGGTTTGTGAAATTAAATGTTCATTAGTCATTCAAAGATTTATTTAAATTATATAAATGCATATTTGCTGAATGCTGACGCAAATGAGAAAATACTATAATGTTTGCCTTTCTATTACTAATAATATTAAAGCAATCGTTGTAATACTTTTTTGTATAGATTTTAATTCCTTTGTTTAACAGTTCTATCTGATTATTAGATAGACTTCTATCCATATTAGACAGAACTGAATGACGACAGTGAACAGGAGGGAAATTGTGAGCGGTGTGTCCTCAGGCGCTGCCGTTCTCAGCACCGTCAAAATAAAAGTTCCCCCCTCGAACACATCGGCCAAACAGAAAAACTTATATCGGCATTGGCGATATGTCGGTCGACCACTAGTTGTGATATGAACTCTGTTCTTTTAAAAATAGAAAGATTTTAACTATTTTGCAACTCTATCGGTCTTTATTAGTTCTGGCAGATAGTAACTCTGATTACTAAAGGTGAATTCACACCAAAAATTATAACTATAACCATAAAGTAAAAAAAAACTTTCTAACTCTAAGAAAATAGTGGCATCCACACAAAAATAAAAGGATAACAACATAGAGAAACAATATCGTTGGAATCATTTTCAGTGCTTTTTTTTTTTTTTTTCATCTAATGAACGATAAAAACATTAAAGGGGTGGTTGACTGTTTTTTTTTTTCTAGGCTTGATTGTATTTTTGGGGTGCAGTCTAACATGCGTTAATGCTTCGTTTAAAAAAAAAAAAAAAACCGCATTATTTTTCACATAATTTACCATTATTCTACATCGCTCTGTCCCTTCTCCAATAAACACGCTGATCATTTTCTGGTTTTATGAAGCCCCTCCCTTAGAAATACGTGATGGGCTCAGATTGGTTAGCTGGCCCAGTGTGTTGTGATTCGCTAAACCACCTAAACGTCCCGCCCCAATTTCTATTAGTTTTTAAATATTTTTTATTTCAGTTGAAGTAATTTTAGGACTTAAATTTATTTCACTTAGTTGCCAAGGCAGCATTTTTATGTTCTTTATCTCATAAGTTTTATTTTCTCTTAATCTCTTTTAAATTTAATATAATTTAAGCTTTACTACTTTTTTTTTGTTTCAGTTAGCAATAATAACACTGGCTCACTTGCGTTGTATTTTTGGGGTGCAGTCTAACATGCGTTAATGCTTCGTTTAAAAAAAAAAAAAAACGCATTATTTTTCACATAATTTACCATTATTCTACATCGCTCTGTCCCTTCTCCAATAAACACGCTGATCATTTTCTGGTTTTATGAAGCCCCTCCCTTAGAAATACGTGATGGGCTCAGATTGGTTAGCTGGCCCAATGTGTTGTGATTCGCTAAACCACCTAAACGTCCCGCCCCAATTTCTATTAGTTTTTAAATATTTTTTATTTCAGTTGAAGTAATTTTAGGACTTAAATTTATTTCACTTAGTTGCCAAGGCAGCATTTTTATGTTCTTTATCTCATAAGTTTTATTTTCTCTTAATCTCTTTTAAATTTAATATAATTTAAGCTTTACTACTTTTTTTTTGTTTCAGTTAGCAATAATAACACTGGCTCACTTGCGTCCCTTTTGAAAGAAGCAGATCCCGTTTCCTTTTAATTTGTGTCCAACTTTTTTGTGGACCAAACATCTGAAGCTCTTTTATGTTTCAAGGGCTGATTTAATGGAGAAGATCAAGGTTTTATTAAATTTTTTTAATTGGCCGGTCTATAAAAATAGGCTGGCACGCGGTGTGTGGCCGAGCGTGCGGTCCATTTGCACATTATAAGACATTCATCACAGAGTGTCAGTGCTGCGAGGGTTCTCGCTGGGTTTGGTGCAGGGCTGGGTGGAGCCAGGGCACTGGTGCATGTCCTTGAGTGTGTGTGTGTGTGTGTGTGTGTGTGGTATAGGATCCACCTGGTGCAGTATTCGTGACACTCTCTCTCATTCACTCTCCGGGTTGAGGAATAGAGTTAGACACACACATAAACACACACACACACATCTCGTCTTCAGGCGAGGAGGGTTTGTCACCACTCTCAGCCCAGGGCAGCCATTTAATACGACCTCTGTGCGTGTGTGAGACGGACGGACTGAGCTTGCACTCGCAGCCAGAGACGTTCGCCTCGTCCAGGACAGACGACAACTCAGTGTGAGCTTGTCTGGGATGAGAGAGGCTCAAGGATGCGCCCTCTATCTCATTCACTCACGGACTCTCTCTCGCTTAACGGCAAGGGGGACACTTCCTCTGTCGCTCGGCGCACACTAACGCAGTCCTGGGAGACTAACAGGCAACCCGTGATTAACCTGGAAGAGAGTTAATTTAGGATGAGGTAAGCTCACTGAACTGAATCGAAATCGAGCCCTCTTGAGGCTCAAAGTGTAATTGATCATTTAATTTGGTTAACTATTTAAGTTTGTAACTTTTTTGCACCGTCTTTAGTGAATTTCCACATGCTGAAGGACATTCCGTCCTGCTGGTTCTTGGCTTCACAGTTCCCATCTGTCTTGTGGTCGTAGCCGTTTTCACAGTGAGCCAGCATATTCGGCTTTCGTGCTTCTAGCTGACATGTTTGCGGGTGTCACAGGCAGTGCCAGTGTAATCAGGTCGATGAGCATCTATGAGCCTTAATCAACATAATGCACTCACGGCTGGAGGAGGTGTCAGCACACTGGGCTGTGGCTGCACTGGACATCCTGTTTCTTGAGTTCGGTTTGGTGGCTCATTGCCCATCACTTTAATTACAACAGTGCTGTGATTGACGCTCAGTGCGCATGCTTGTAAATGTTTGATTTATTAGAATATGACTCAGCTGACTCGTTTGGTTTACCACAGGTCAACAACTTGACAATAGATATTTCTAACAAAATATTTGAGTGTACATTATATACACTACCATTCAAAAGCTTGGAGTCTTTAAGATGTTTTTCAAAAAAGTCTCTACTGCTCATCAAGGCTGCATTTATTTGATCAGACACCATTAAAAACTGTACAATTGTAAAATATTATTGCAATTTAAAATAACTGTTTTTTTTATGTGAATATGTTTTTAGATGTAATTTGTTGCTGTGATCAAATCTGGATTGTCATCATCATTACTCCAGTCTACAGTGTCACACGATTCTTCAGAAATCATTCTAATATGCTGATTTGCTGCTCAAGAAACATTTCTCATTATTATCAATGTTGAAAACAGTTGCTGCTTCATATTTTTCTGGGAACAGTGATACATTTTATTTTTCCGGATTATTTGATGAATAGAAAGTTCAAAGGAACAGCATTTATTTGAAATAGAAATCTTTTGTGACATTTTAAATATACTGTCGCTTTTGAACAGTTAGTCAATGCTGAATAAAGGTATTTATTTCTTTAAAAACTAAATCTTACTCACCCTAAACTTTTGAATGGTAGTGTATTGTAAATATATTTGACATTTGAACTGCTTTCACTGCATTTAAAGTGGCAGTTCACCCCAAAATGAAAATTGCCATCATTAACTCTTGTTCTCTGGGAACAGTGATACATTTTATTTTTCCGGATTATTTGATGAATAGAAAATCATTTATTTGATGAATAGACATTTATTTGAAATAGAAATCTTTTGTGACATTTTAAATATACTGTCGCTTTTGAACAGTTAGTCAATGCTGAATAAAGGTATTTATTTCTTTAAAAACTAAATCTTACTCACCCTAAACTTTTGAATGGTAGTGTATTGTAAATATATTTGACATTTGAACTGCTTTCACTGCATTTAAAGTGGCAGTTCACCCCAAAATGAAAATTGCCATCATTAACTCTTGTTCTGAAGCCATATGACTTTCTTTTATTGAATACAAAAAGCAGAACATTGTCGCTTTTCTTTCCATAAAATTAAAGCATATAAACCAGAGGTTGTCGATCTCTGAAAAGCATCATAAAAGTAGTTCATACTTGCCAGTGTGCTATTGAAAGTCATCCAGAAGTTAGATGTGTGAGGAACAGATTGAAACGTATTCACTCTGCTGCAGTGGAGGGCAGGGTTTTCAGTAAATATGGACGACAGCACACACGTCTACTTATAACTACTTATTTTTTGGAACATTTTGGGCTAAATCTCTGTTTTTGTGTTCAACAGAAGAAAAAATTAAGTCATAAAACTTGATGAGTAAATGATGAATGAATTTTTGGCTGAGTTATAAACTCCTTTTTTTGTGCGAGTATGTATGTGTGAGTAAAACAATATTAATTTTAAAATAATTTAGGATGAGACTTTGATTGGATAGTTACATATTAGATTTCTTTCATTACATAATTCGAAAAGTCAAGTAAAGTCAGATATGAAGTAGTATATTTTACAAAAGTATTAATTAAATTGCCTTCATTTTAATTTAACCTTAGTGTTAACTAAAGTTGTGTACAGCCTTTAATGAGAAACCTCATACATTTCTAAAACATTTACCCACTGTTCCTTTCTCTATCTCATTCTCTCTCCCAGCATGACCTTTCATTCACCACACTGTAAAGACTGATTTAGGAATGGCTGATTTTGTGTGTTTGTGTGCAGCTCAAGCCCATGAGAGAATGATGAGCCCTACTGGGCCCAGTCCCAATCCCAACATCCCATCAGAGTACTGCTCCACCATACCGCCCATGCAGCAGGCCCGCGCCGCCGGCACCCTCAACTCTCCCCCACCCACCGTCATGGTCCCCGTGTCTGTCCTCAAACACCCCGGTAATGATGGTACGCACTGCACTCTGAGCCAGAGTTATAGCTCTTATGGCTATAAAACACAGTGACTTCCACTTAATATAATTACTTCATGAATGAAAGAGTGACTGCGTCCCAAATTTGCATGCACTACGTATCATATAGTGTGCTAGACTAGGTTACACTACTATGTAAAAGTTTTGGGTCAGTACGATTTTTAATGAATATTTCTATTCAGCAAGTATGCATTAAATTGATCAAAAGTGGCATTTATAGACATTTAAAACATTACAAAAGATTTCTATTTCCAATAAATTCTGTTCTTTTGAACTTTTTGTTCATCAAAGAATCCTAAAAAATAAAATGTATCACAGTTTCCACAAAAATATGAAGCAGCACAACTGTTTTCAACATTGATAATAATAAGGAATGTTTCTTGAGCAGCAAATCAGCATATTAGAATGATTTCTGAAGGATCATGTGACACTGAAGACTGGAGTTATGATGCTGAAAATTCAGCTTTGATCACAGGAATAAATTGCATTTTACAATATATTCAAATAGAAAAAATGTGATTTTTAAATTGTAATAATATTTCACAATTTCTAGTGTATTTTTGATCAAACATTTGACCCAAACAAAACCCACAATTTTAAACGGTATTGTAATTAGTGTAGAAAAAAATAGAAAACAGAAAAAAAATTGTTTCCTCTTCATCACACCAAATATCATGGACATTTTATTTGATACACCTATTTCAAGTCAGTGTTATTTTAGTGTCATTGATATACTATTATAGTTTTATTAATATTTTAAATTCGATTTAGTTTTTATATTTTGTTTTCATTTAAATTTTTAAGTTTTAGTAAATGTGTTTTGTTTTTGTCATTTTTTAAAATGTCTATAGTTATTCATTTTTAGTTCAATTTTAGTTATTTTAGCACTTTAAGTTAAACTGAAATAAAATAAGAATTGATGCATTGGCAACTAACTGAAATGTTAGATTTTTATATAAATTTAATTTCAGTTTAACCTTTTATTTCGAGTAACAAACATGTATGTGTATATATATAGTTTTAGTTATTTTAGTTTAAAAAATAGCCCTGTTTCAAGCCTTATCCTAACGAGTTGCTGTTTTTGTTTCTCTATGTGTTCTCGTAGGTTTTCCACGTGAGCAGAAGCATGTGTGGTTTGCTGATGGTATCCTGCCGAACGGTGAAGTCGCCGACACCACCAAACTGTCCGTACAGACCCGGCGATCCTCTCAGGAGTCGAGCCCAGTAACGCCAGACCCGCCAGGGGTGAGACGGCTAAATCCTCTTAACTGATGCTGGAGAGAACTGATAATGACAACTGAAGTCATTAACCGATTTGCTGCCTTTCAGCCTGATGGTAAATTGCCTGGTGAGTGTGATGTGAGCGCCGGAGGAAGTTCTGACAGTGCTGCCGAGGTGAGCCGCCCGCCCCTCAGAGGCCCGTGGGACTACGGCCTGCTCTGTGCGGTGGGCAGCTGTGTGCAGAGAGCGGTCAGTCTGGTGCCGGAGGATGATGAAGGTCTGCCTCCACTGCTCATTACCACAGGAGAGGAGGAAGATGGGGGTGAGCACTTTCAAAGGCTTAAACTAGAGGGTAGTCTCATTTTGATTGGGCTATAAGTCGACATCAATATTTATCAAAAAAAAAAGCACAATATCGAAAATAAACTTGAACATGAACTCGTGTACTTCTTCTCCAGAGCTGTCACTTTTGCCATCATTTCAATTGAGAAAAACTAGTGTCAGATACACACACAAACTCAAAGGTCTTCGCGATGACCCACTAGAATAAAAGTATGGTTTAATTTGAAGAAATTATTACAAAAATATATTGCTGTTATATAGTAAAAAGTACTTCTCCTCTCAAAGTAAAAATTATAATAATACAACAATAAAACATTACTTTGAATTATTATTATCATTAATAGTATTATTATTATTATTATTATTTTAAGGAATATCATACAACCAAGATTTTTTTCATCCATGTTTTAATTAATACAGTATAAAATTTCTGCGCTTTATTTGACCAAAAAAAAAAGTTTGACATAAAATAACATATTTTTGCTGGAAATTAGTTGTTATATTTTTGTTTATTTGTTAAAGTTTTAAGAATTTTTTGATTAAACAGAAACACAACATTTGGGGAAAAATATTTATAAATTAATAAAAGGCAGCTTATTCTGTAGTTTACTTCTAAATAAATAAATAATATTCAGATTTACTCTCGAGGTCTAGCAAATATTTGGAATTCATTTTCTTCCCCATTAATGGTATGAAATGAATGTTGTGATCAATCAATATTGAATGATATGGGGGGGGAAATGTTGTGTTAATATTTTTTGGCAATATTGTCAAACCCTACTAAACGGGTGATTTTTAGCTAGAATCTTATTGCTTTAATAATACATTGGACTATTTGGTGAGAAATTTCGAGCATTTCATGCCCTCAGGCTCAGAAATGTGTCTTATTGCAATGCCAGAATGGGTCCATGTGTGGCTTTGTAGATGACCGCAAAATACTATTTACTTATAGAAGTCAGTTAATATCCTGATTGAGTATAAAATGTCATTTAAATGTGTAGCTACCTTACTACCTTTAACTGAAGCTGCTGCCATTTTGGGTATTTTGTGACCTCACAATAGTCATTTTGCTTTTGCTGTCTTTTTGCTGTTTTTCTGTCATTGCATTGCAGATGTATTAGTTGAGGAACGTCCTGCTGCTTGCCAAATATTGCTGCTGTTGGAAGAGGGAGGCCCACAACCTCTGACCTTTGTGCTCAATGCCAATTTACTGGTGAACGTCAAGATCGTCACATGTATGTTACGGACTCTCAATCTGATGAAAATATGTGATCATGGTTAGCTTGTTCATTTGATAAACTTCATTGCCTTCTCTTTGTTTGTGTTGAAGATGATGGGAAGAGGTGCTGGTGTCTGAGCTCTAACGGTCTTCAGGGAGTGGGCCAGAAGGAGCTGGTGTTTATAATTGAGTGTCTCCCAGAGGAGAACAGCCTGCCTAGAGACGTATTCAACCTGTATGTTAGTTTATACCAGGATGCACAGAAAGGTACGTCACACAAAACACTTCACAGTACAGGCAAAAACATTGTGCTTTCATGCACTGCTTGGTTTTGAGATCTTGGGCTTTTTGTCTTTTCATGACGTGATGTTTCAGAGTAGTGGAAAGAGAACATCCAAAATAACTTTTAAGTGTTAATTGTATTGTAGTTTGTCTATTTGTGTCTCTACATTTAAATTACAATCCATATCTTTAAAGGCTGTTTTCTCAAAATGACTTTTTGCTCCACTTCAGCCGCACTGACATACACCAAACTTTACAGTTTTTATACATTTTATTGCTAAAACCATGGTGAATTTTTTTTTCTGGCTGTTGATAGTATTTATATTTTTTCTAGAATGATGTACTTCTCAGAGTAAAAATAATATTAATAATAACAATAATACAACTTATTATAGTATTATTTTGAATTATTATTATTAGTAGTAGTAGTAGTCATATCATTATTATTATTAAGGAATATCTTACAACTCTTACAAATATTTTTTTACCCATGTTTTAATTAATAGAGTACAATTTCTGTACTGCAGCACTTTTTGACAAAAAATAAAATAAATAAAAATGCATTTTTGGGGGGAAATATATGTATTTGTATAATAATAATGTATATTTATGTATTGACTAAATTGTTAAAGTTTCATGAATTTGTCTTAAACAACATTTTTGATAATAAAAATCTTAAATCCCCTCTGACACAACCTGTTCCGGAATGTCTGTTTCTAGAGATGCATGCAAATTAGTGCATATTTCATTAGTTAATGCATCATTTGCATATTTAAACATACCATACCAAAACATGTTTGCAGTTCTTAATGTAATCAGTTAACTGAAGATGGTGATATGTTACTTCAATTATTACCCTATTCATCTGTAGTGTCTTGCCTTAAAGGGGAGACAAAACCGTCATAATTTGCTTTTTCATGTCCATATTCCATCCTCTTTCTGACTAAATAAAGTTTTAAAGTTTTTTTTTTGTACTACTGTACTGATAAATTAGTAATCAAAATAGATTTATACCAGCAGAAATATTTAGTTTTAAGGCTTATTTTGTTGCATGATATTTTATCTGTTTAATAAAAACACTAAATATTCAGAATGTAATTGAGTGATATTTATAGTGTTTTTCTTATTTTTCCCACCAAAGGGAAGTTCATCGAGCACCTTGGAAACGTGACGTTCACTGACAGTTTCCTGGGCAGTAAAGACCACGGGGGCGTCCTGTTCTTCACTCCAACGTTTCAGCCACTGGATGGTCTTGCTCTGCCGCAGGTCTCGTTCCTCTGTGGTGTTTTGATTCAGAAACTAGAGGTTCCCTGGGCTAAAGTGTTTCCCCTCCGACTGCTGCTCGCTCTGGGGGTGCAATACAACGGTGAGCCCTCATTAAAACATCCTTTAGTACACTAGAGAAGACTCTGTTTTTATTAAAATATTGTTTTTAAGAGATATAATATTAGCTCATAGTACCGTCTCCTCCAGTCATGTGATGTGGTGTTTGTTTTTACAGTGTATCCCTGCACTTTGGTGAGCGTGCGTTTCCGTGACTCAGTTTTTAAAGAGACGGGACACACCATCATGAATCTGCTCACAGTACGTGTTCACATTTAACCCTTGAGTATTGAACTTATTCATATAAATTTGCAATGCATTGTTCAAAGATGTACACTGGTGTTCAAAATTTTGGGGTCGGTAAGATTTTTTAAAGTTAATTTTATATTGATGCATTGTACATTGTCCATACATATACATTACATTGATGCAAAGCCAAGTGTCACATGATCCCTCAGAAATCATTCTAATATATTGATTTGCTGCTCAAGAAACATTTCTGATTATTTTCAATGTTGAAAGCAGCTGTGCTGCTTTATATTTTTGTGGAAACTAATACATTTTAGTTTTCAGGATTCTTTGATGAATAGAAAGTTCAAAAGAACAGCATTTATTTGAAATAAATCTTTTGTAACATTATAAATGTTTTACTGTATTTTTTTTTTTTAGCAATTTAATGCATCCTTGCTGAATAAACACATTACTTTCTTTAAAAAAAAAAAAGCCCTTTTGAACCTTTAAAATATGATGTTTAAAGCTGTTTGTGGCTTAATGGTTCTCAAAGATGAAAGATATGCAGTTAAGGCCAAGATCATAATGCAGACTATTTGTTACTAACCTTAAACACAATATCTAAATTTTAGGTTTAATGGGGTTTCAATTAAAAATGTTATATGCGAGTAATTTCCCCCTAAAGGGTTTTAAATCAGAGATGGTTTGGTTAAGCTGTTTTTCCACCTTTCTAATCAGAGTCTCGGGTTCAGCTCAGGACAGATAATGAAGGAGATTAGAGAGCGACGTGTAAACAAACATTTATTTTGTATGCGATTAATCGATTTGACATCCCTACATAATACATATTATTTTACCTACATATATTTCTGAAAAATAATCAAGGCATGTTTTCCTAGTGTTTTTGACTGAATTAACATGACATTTTTTTTTTTTTATTGCTTTTATATGCACAAAAATATTTAGATAATTATTTAAACTTACCAACAATAACATTTTAAATCTGAGGTGATATTAAAACATCTTTATGTTGTGGTAGTTGCATGTTGCAAGACAAGGAATGATCGCAAGACTATTTAATATTATCAAAATCTTTAGGAAAGCCAAACTTTCAAATGTACTTTGGTCAGCACCAAAAGTTTTAGTGTGAAATCACTCTTCAAGTAGTTTGTTGTGTAACATTCGTTATGTAATATGATAAGTGGATGTCTCACTGGACCCCATCTTTCATTTGCAGTGACTGGAGCAAGTTTTGTGGTTTTTAACGGTGCTCTGAAAGCCTCATCAGGATTCATTGCCAAATGCAGCATTGTGGAAGGTAATGCTGTCACACAAATCACTTTCAAACACTTCCTCAGGTCAAAACGTTTAATCATCACGCTGTCCCTCTTCATCTTTAGATGGGTTAATGGTGCAAATCCCTCCGGAGACCATGGAGGGTTTGCGACAGGCTCTCAGGGACCAGACCGACTTCCAGATCCCCTGTGGAAAGGCAGATTCGGAAGAGACACGGGAAAATGTGAATGTACGCTGGGTCGACTGGACCACACCTGTCAACACTGGGTACCAGCAATTTATCATATACATTTACACTATCAAAAGTTTGAAGTAGTTAAGATTCATTGTTTTTAAAAGAAGACTCTTATGCTCATCAAGGATGCATTTATTTGATCAAAAATATGGTCAAAACAGCGATATTTTTACAATTTAAAATAAAGTTTCTATTTTAATATAATTTTGAAATGTAATTTATTCCTGTGATCAAAGCTGAATTTTCAGTATCATTACTCCAGTCTTCAGTGTTACGTGATCCTTCAGAAATCATTCTGATATGCTGATTTGCTGTTTAACATTATTTTCATCAATATATACAAATAGAAAACAGTTCTTTTAAATTGTAATAATATTTCAGTATTTTTATCAAATAAATGCAGCATAGGTGAGCAGAAGAGACTTAAAAAAAATCCAAATTATTCCAATCTTTTGACCAGTAGTGCATGTTCTTACCAGATGCTTTCTTGTGGAGGTTCAGTATGCCAATACTGTACTGAATAACCACTTTACTGAATGATAAATCACTATTGATCTGTTTGGCTGCCGATGCCAGTGACCTTGAAAATGTTTTCTGCATTAATTAGGCACTATTTAATATTCATTCCTTCAGCTTCCTTTGACTGTTAAGATGCTGTGTCAGGCCAAATTTAATTCCCCTAAGACAGTATAACGTGTTTGCATGTTTGCAGAGTCACCAGTCCGGTGGATGGCAAGTCTCTAGAGGGAGTGTCCAGCATCAAGATCCAGCAAGACTCAGAGTTTGAGATGGACGGCCGAACCATCAGGTGTACTGAGGTGAGTACGGCATGATGCCTGCAAAAGAAGGGATTTTATTGATGTAATCTCTGCTTCATGTCTCATCTCCCATCAGGTCTTCTATGTGCTGAAGTCTTCAGACGTCTCTCTGTCTGCCGTCCTCACGTCATCGGCTCAGTTTCAGAGAGAGATCGCCACCGCTAGCTGCGCCGCTCTTTGCCCGCACCTCTCTGTGTTCGTGGCGAATGGGTTCAACTCTCTCGCACTCCGGGTCTCCACTGACTCAGACGTGGTAAATTATTTTTGGTGCTAAATTACACCGCAGTGTTGACTAAACAACATCATCCCAGGCTAAAACCTGCTCATTTTATAATATAAGATCAAAATTGTTGTCAACAAAAGAGCAGCTTTAAGGGCTTCCTGTGGCTCGTCCAGCAAAATAAAAGTTTGACCTTTGAAAATTAAGAAATTAGAGCTAGCCATAAAAAAAAAAAATATATGTTTTTTCTGAGCTGGAATCTGCAATCTGTTTTTCCCATCCATCATAATTTACTGTTACCATATGAAGTAGCTTCATGTGAACTTAAGAATCCATATGAACGTTTTATGTAATGCTTATTGTACTTTTTTTTAAGTACTGCATTTCTCAATCTGTAAAATACACAGAGGGTAAAATACGCCTCGGTTTGATTGTTTAAAACATATAGATGAAATCATCTGCTAATTCGATTAAGCTTTTATTAAGCTTAAATACTATTTTTGGAACAGACAGTTCATGTGTTGATTTAAAGGTGATATTTTTGTTAGGGCATTGAAATTACAAATTATTACACGTACTGCAATTATAACCCCAAAAAAGTGTGAAATTCATGAAAAAATGAAATTCTTGTGAAAGCATTGTTTCAAACCACATATTATATTTACCAGAAAAGTTCAGAGTAAAGGACGATAGGATGATCTCTATGAAAAGATTTGCTTTAACATTTATATAATTATTTTCACACTACTGCATTAATTAAACAAAATGTCATTTATTGAGATCTTTAAATGGCTTTATTTTACTATTAGTTCATTTTACTGGACAAAATTAAAAACAGCCCCATCTGTTTACACTACAAATGTGTTGTTGGTGTAACCAGCCAGGAATTGAAGAATCCTTAGAGCTTTGAATGTTGGCCTGAAAAAAAATATCAACACATCTGAACACTTTCCATTTTTTTAAATTTGTCAACCCACCATGATACGAGTTAACAAGGCTGTCAAAT